GGCTCCTAACATGCCCTTTTTATCAACTCCAGGCTTTGCACATGCTGTTCCCTTTGCCAGGAACCCTCTTCCCAGTGCCTTCACTAGTCAAATGTCTTCTCATGTTTCAGATATCAGGAAGGGACAGATCCACATTTCTAGGGGTTGGAAGCTTAGACAATTTGGTGTGAGGACTTGGAAAGAAATCAAAATATGAATTCAAAATTAGGTACAAAGTGAAAGAATATTTATTCAGAATGAAATCACAACAAATTACTGAAGCGTTAGAGATTGAGGTCTAAGATCTCTGGTCAATGTGGCAGAAATGCTTGCTAGACATGTTCCCCAATCACAATCTGGCTTCTCTTCCCCACCTAGAACATTCTACAACTCCCAGCATTTACTAGGGACCAGGTGGGGGCCCTGTGGCTTAAGCTTTATAAACTTTAGTATAAATTCATCTCTGGTCTCATATTTTATGTTACTTTCTCTGGGAATCTTCTCTAAGCCTCCAAGACTAGATTTGGGCTCCTTATCTCCGTCTCCATGACCTCCAGGGTATACCCCCATCATACCTCTTACTGTGGCATATTGAAATCGCTAGGATGGGTACCTGTCTCTTCAAATAGACTATGAGTTCTGGAAATTCAGAGCCAGTTTCTTGCCCACCAGTCTACCTTTAGTGCCTAGTCCAACATCTGGTACAGGGAGGGATTCTTTAAATCTGTTTAACTAGTGAATGAATATCTAATTTTCCACCTCTAACCTCTGGTATCGCTGAGTCTTCAGAGATGAAGATAATTCTCCCTGGTCCTACTAGATGCCCCCAGCCCTACAATTTCAATCCTGTGACACTAAGACAAAGATATTCTCCCAGTAAAATCACATATAATGGCCTCTATTTACTCAGTATGTGACTTCTTCCAGAAAACTTCTTAACCAGGAATATATAATGCAAGAGGAGATGAGGTAAGTAATGGAATTTTTTTTTGGAAAGAGGGGATAGGGAGCTTTCACATTCTTCCTCAATTCATTAGCTTAGCTAGGTCTTTTTTTTTTCAATATGTCAGTGGGAGACACTATAGGTTGCTCAGCAAAGGGCTATTTCCTCCTCTGTTTTCGGTGGGACCGTAATTTTACGAGTTCTTTTTCCCATATACTTAGAGATGGTGGCCCCTTTGCCAACCCAAAGGGATGAATGTTGTATAGTCGAAGGAAACCATGGCAATTCCATTCTCCTTACTGGAGATAGGTTTAGATGTGGGCATGTGACTGACTCCTGGCCAACAAGAAACTTGGGAAGATCTGCTGGGGTTGGGTGGCTTCTAGGAAAGATTGTCCTCTGAAATAAGAGAAATACCCAAAGGGAAATTCCCCTTTGGATTTAGTTGTGTAAATGTGATGCCTGGAGCTCAGGTTGCCATTTTGCAACAATAAGAAGCAGCAACAGGTTGAGGATGGCAGAAAGGAAAGATGGAAATTTTCTGGGGCCTGCGAATACCGTCCCCCCAATCTAGAATCACCTGTCTCCAGCTCTTTCTTAGGTTAGATAACAAAACCCTTTGTTTGAGCCACTTTTAATCAGATGTTCTACAAATTGTAGCTGATAGCACTCTGATATAATTTCTAATAAGGACAAGGAGGTGAATTGAAGTATGGGTAGAAATCACGTCATTATCTTGATAATTATATATATATAAATATATATATATATATATTAGTGCTTTGAGATTGTAAAAGCATTTCATCTTGATGGTATACTTTTTTTTTGACGGTAGATACTTTACTTTTTGAAATAACACCTTTAAAATAAAACTGTTTTCTCATCTGTTGAATCAAGCTGGAAATGAGAGAAGCCAAGTGGTTTGTGTGTGAACCACCCTTGTTTAAAACGGAAAAAGAGTATAAGTATACATCAGAAAATATTCCAACAGAGAAAAAACCTTCCGGGGTAGTAATGCCCCAAAATTTCAATTACAAAGGGCCCCTTTTAAGGCACCCTACTATGATAGTGGTTTAATTTTTAATATTTGTTCATGGGGGGGGGCAGGTAATGACGAAGTTCTATGAATAGTCATACTTCTAATCAAAGTGCTGTTTTATCACACACAACAACATCCCCATCTGTTTGAAAATTAATTATATGAGTGTGTACCAGGCATCACTAGTTAGCGTGCAGACATCTCTAGTTAATGGAATGTAATACTGCTCCAATTTTTGGATGCCTGGAGCCCTACAGACAGACACCATTGTTCTAGAAAATTCTGCCACTCCATGTAAGAAGGTCATTTTGCTAGGAGGTGACACCAGGGAACCATTCTCTCCACTGGGGTGGCAGTGGGGATAGCCTTGCAACAACCCTTCAAAATAGAATTTCTAAATCCTGTTTTGTCCCTTGAGTGCTATGGCTCCTGAAAACCTGACTCATTAACTATAGAGTTTGGGTAATTAAGATAGGAAGCAGAGTGATAAGAAATTAAACCAGTATGCATAATGCAGATGTCTACGGAGGATGGTATTCCCAGAGCTCTAGCAAGCAGGCTAAATAGGTTTTAATCAGTAACTCATCATTCAGAGAGATAATTAATTCCGGATGGGAGGTAGGGAGGAAAGGAAAGCATAAGCAGACTCTCAAAATCTATTGGGATAAATCTATCCTCCTTGGAAGGAGGCAAATCCCAAAATTCCCTCACACGGAGGGATATACCACAGCAGAGTCTCAGTGGGCAGTTTTCTGAGAATCTGCTGCAGAGAGAGACTGCTACATACTGCCATTCACTCCCTGAAGATGCTCTGGGTTCTAAAACCTGCTTAAACCAACACTGTTTTAGACCTCCTTGGCCTAATAATGTTCAGAGAAACAACTATATAGAGAAGGTGACAATGAGGAGTGAAGGCATTCCCTAGAGTGGGCCTCTGCAGCAGACAAGCCTTCTTAGCACGTTAGGGGCCTAGTCTGATAGGGTATGTTATGAAAGGAGAGAGTGGGGAATTTCCAGATCTCTAAAAGCTCTGCTGCTATGAAGTGCCCTTAGAGAAAAGACTCAAAATGTTATTCATTTAATTGCAATGTACTGTTGAGATTTCTGTGCTCTTCCCTAGTTGGAAGGAGATGTTCATAGAATATAGAGTCTGCTGGGAGGGGGGCACCAAGATAAATATGGTCATAGTAGAATTATATCTACTTCCTCATCCCCTTCCTAATCTTTACAAGCTTGGTCCCAGGCACTGTAAAACAAAGCCATCATGGGGACAGGGGGTAAACTATAGGCTCACATGTTGTTGTTATTAGGTGCTATTGAGTTGATTTTGACTCATGGTGACTTCATGTGACACAGTGAAACTGCTCCACAGGATTTCTAGGATCTTTATGGAGCAGATTTACAGCTCTTTCTCCCACGGAGCTGCTGGGTGGGTTCAAACCACCAACCTTGTGGTTAGCAGCCAAGAGCATAACCCTTTCACTACCAGGTCTCTTTATTAAACAACAGCAAATACTAGAAGCCTAAAATGGATATCCATGAAAAAGAACTACCTATAGTCAAAGAGTGGAATAAATGCTTATTGAGCAAACAAAAAAAACTGGAGGCGGTTCCATGGACTCTTGGTGTCTTGCAAGGCAGAATCCTAGCACTCTCAAGTTTTTCATTCTACAGAAGGAATTTCCAGGTGAGGTTACTAAGCCATAATTAATCACAGTGAAACTATTTTCAAATTTCTGTTTTTAAAATAATCCCTGAGGTAAAAAAGCCATGTGAGGACTGTACAAAAATGAAAAGGGGAAATTGAAAAAAACAATTTATCATATGAAGAAACATAAACAATATTTATTAGAGACAATAACTGCAAAGCAGCAGCCAGTAAAAGCTCACATCCACAATTTACTGGCTGTGAAGGAGTACAGGCACATACACTCATAACTGTAGCGCTAATATCCTAAGGTGGTTTAGAAGGAAATGCTGTATTTGACAATCAATTTTAACTTTTATTTTCCCATTTACAAGGCTGAAAAGATTAAAACTACATTTAATGAAAGTCTAGCAGTATTAGGCATTCAAGTTGTAAAGCACAATTATCAAAAGATGCTGCTGTGTACTTTATGAAAGACAAGACAAAAAATTACTCATTTGCCATATGAGGCCCTTTCTCAGATTTCATGATCTTTTTCCTTCAAGTACCAAGTGTTTGGCTGCTAATTTCTGTAAACAACTGGTGGTAAGAAATGGGCAACTGCTGAGTTTTCTCCAAGAATAAACACCATTTACTTCTGCCCTTCCATAAGGCCAAAGGCCCACATATCCACTCAAGACACTCATGTGGATGACACTATTTATTCCTTTTCTAACAATAAAAAAATAATCACCTGCTTACAGATTTGAAGAACTATAATAACAACTCCTTAAATATGCGTGGCACTTTAAAAACATTATCAAGCACTTTCACACCAATTATTTAATTTGATCTTTCTGACAACCTTGTGAGGTAGGTTGGGCAAGTGTTATCATCCAAATTTGGTGGATGAGGAAACTGAGGCATAGAGCAATTAAGTAACTTGTAGGGTTGGACAGAGAGATGCCAATCTTTATAGTGGGCTGCCTTCAGTAAGGAAGAGAGAAAGTCTAAAAAACTGTGGTGGTTTTATTTCAATATACTTTGAGGAAGTACTTCGCCCTCATCCAGCCAAGTGATAGTGATTCAGTTGGAGCAGCTGTCATGACAAGTTTGGGCATGTAATTAATTAGATAAAGCACTGAGATTTTTAAAAACTGGTATTGTAATTGAAATACACATTTTAACTCCTAACACGAGGGGATTTGCTGGTTGGTTTGTCTTTAGGACAACCCAGCTCTGCTTTCTGAACGTAAGTTTGCCATTTGAGAGGTATAATACACTTTTAAGGACCGCTGGTGTCACAACTGTTAAAGTGCTCGGCTGCCAACCAAAAGGTTGGCGGTTCAAACCCACCAGCTGCTCCGAGGGAGAAAAGACCTGGCAATTTGCTCCCGTAAAGATTTACAGCCTAGGAAATCTTATGGGGCAGTTCTACTCTGTCCTAGTAGGGTCGCTATGAGTCAGAATCGACTCAACAGCACACAACAACAACAATATACTTTCAAAACAAAAATGCTCAGTTCACCATGGCTTTTGGCATGAAAAAAGCAGTAGTTTCTTTCTCCCAAAGGGAATGAGAGTACATTTACCCAAAGCTGGAGTATCTGTATATCAATGGTTAAAATTGAGAAAATGTCCAATTTAGTTACCAAACCTTTCTGTCCTTATGCATGTATAAGTTGGGCTTTGGGAATCTTACAGACCATCACTGTTAGTTTGGTTTGGGGTCACTCTCAAGATGCTTACCTGTCTTCTACATTAATTTAAAATGTATTTGGAGGTTCTGACCATGACTCCTGCTCAAAGTCACCATTTTTAACCTGTCCCATGACAGACTGGCTATAAGAGCACTGGATAGATGGGTCAGAAAGTTCAGTGATTAGGGGTCCTTAGGCCATCGACCCTGATTGATCTTCAATGTTCAACCTGGTCAGTGACAGGCTGGTAGCTGCTCCCATTCCTTACTCCCACAGCATGACCTGAGGCCACTGTAAAGCTTCAGCGCAAGGATATTTTTCTCTCAAAAGAGCTTGAAAATACTTGGGGTCAATGAACACAGTTAACTGGTTTGATATAAAGGAACACTTGAGATGGCTTAGGAATGGCCTTATACTGTCCTAATCATTATCAAGCCCTTTTGTCAATCAGGAAAGAACCCAAAAAATACAATTCAACATCTTAGTTTTAGTTTACTCACAGTCGTTATATATTTTCAAGGGCTTTTTTTGTATTTCAAGTATATATCTATGCACATATGTGAATATATATATATATATATATGTCTACAGGGGGAGTATATGTTGTATGAAGTACCCTTTTTATTATTTATGTTCACTACTTAATTTAGGCCTATTAAAATAGGGCAAGTGACAAATGATGTGCTAACAGGGAGGACATAGATGATTTGTAGTTTTATTTTTATTTGGTTAAAAAATAAACCAAAAATATTATCTGTTGCCTGGATGTCCCCATAAAATTAAACCACAAATACTGACTAAACAAAGAGAATTTCAAAGGAGAAAAAAACATCCCCCCAAAATAAAATGGAAGCTCTGCAGTTTAGGAGCTTACAGATGCATTTTTATGAGACTGTATAAAAATATTACACAATATGTATGCCCTGTGAAAGAATATTTACTGTTTCACTGATCTCTGAATGTACTGGAAATTGATCATTAAATTGCGTTTTGTTTTGTGTGTGTATAAAATTACTTGTAAATTCAATACCAACAAGAATTTTTTAAAAAAAATTACCAGGAGATGGCCAGATAAATAAGCCTTGCAGATTAATAAAGTCAGAGAAGCGGATCCCTATTCATCCTGGTAAAAATAGAGTCCATAAGCAGAGTGCTCAGATTTTCCTCCAATCCTTATTCCAAATCAGTATGATCTTAACCTGTTTCCAGGCATTTCACTGTCTATGTTTTAATAGTAGAAATGATGGCCCTGGATCCAGGCATTTTTCCAGAACAATTGAGGATATGCTACATAATCTCTTTTTATTAAACAAATAAGGTACCAGAGTAAAGGAGAAATTATAAGGGATACAAGGGTATAAGAGAATAAAATTGGAGATCTTGTTAACTCACTGTTATGCCAAATGAAAATGCATTCAATGAAACACACAAATCTTCTGATCATTTCATCTCTTTTTTATAATTTAAAAGTTTCTGAAGTCAATCTCCAACTGGGGGGCGGGGGAGGCAGAAAACCCGTTTCCTTCAAATAATGAAAATCAAAATGCCCTATGTTCCTGCACTGGGTAAGAGATTTCTCTGGGGTTTTCCAGAAATTTTTAAGTTAAAAAGGTAACTCTTTTCTAAAATGTTCCTGGCAGGCAAGGAAAAGGGCAGTGAAGACTGTGAATTTTCTTTTCTTTTTTTTAAAAGAAGACAAATCCTAAAAAATTCTACTGGACATTTCCCAGAATTGCAGGACAAGCCTGAAACTTGAAATCTTGAGAAGGTTTAAGTCTACCTACTAGGAGATTCGTATCTTCAACCATCCTCAGATGGTAAGAACTCTTAGAGAAGCCTACATAATTCTGATGTTTTAACAACCCTCCTGATCCAGAATTTCTTCAGCATATCTAAGGAACATAACATTCCTGAAATTCCAGCACTTCCATAACCAAACGTAGAATTCAATTTTGCATTCATGGATCCTTGGGAATAAAATCTCCAAATCTAGGCTCTTTAATCAATTGGATCTCAGAGATGGCATGCCATGGTGGTTACAGCTGGTTATATACACAGGGGCCTTATGAGGTAAAGATGGGGCATCTATTTAAAAAAAAAAAAAAACTTGAACAGCCATCCCTGTAAACTCCAACAGAAATGATGTCACTGATGGTAAAACCCCAGTAACCTTCTCTGATCAGCATGAGAGCTCTTGGGCAAAAACTTTGCTCAGGATAATAAATCATCAGGCTACTCAGACCTGCAGTCCAGAAAACTTGAAAACAAGAAAGCCCCTCTCCTCATTCTACCTGATGGACGAACCAGCCCAATTCAGATTTTATGGGTTTACGTCCTGCAGTGTGACAACAGTCTATGGTACATTGCCAGTGAAAAGGCCAGTAATGCCTGGAAGAACATGATCACTTGTGAACTGTGATGCTTTGGCCAGCTTCCTCCAAGACATAGAGGTTTTCTTGGCTTCTCTTTGTGGTTTCCACACTCCCAAGAGCTCTATAAAAGGGAGAAGCTCACAGCTCACAAGAGTTGAGAGCTACCTTCCTGCTTTGTTATCTATGGAGGGCTCATTACTTGTATGAAGAACATGGATCAACCCAGAAAACAAGATGTCTGTACCCCCAAGAGACCCCAGGTCCTGTTAAGCAGAGCAGAACTCGTCGGCATTCAAGATCTGGCTGGGCACAGAACTGATTTTACTGCTAGAAGGTGTCTCATCTTTGTCTTCGGATGACCTTTGGTCTGTCTTTTCTGCTAACTGGCAGGATTTCTGATGCCTGCAGGCACAGAAGACACACCTAAACCATGCCCGAAAGCCTTCAGAAACACTGGTGGAAAAGAGCTTTTTGCAAGGGTGGAAGAACTGATAGAACACAAGCATGAAGAGAATAGCTGTACAGTACCCGACGAGCAGCTGCAGAATCAAGAGAGGTGCACACACATACATATAGATGTTGGTCTTGTGAAGGTACCACATGAGGAGGAGGAAGGCGTTCTCAATGAATCTCATCATATAGTACACCAGCAGCCGGTACCAGTTCTGGGACTTGCTAATGAGGTCTGGGCTGTTGATTTTCAGCTGCACAGCTGACCAGCAGAACATGTTGATGCCAGCATACAGCAAGGTGAGGAAGCATAGCACGATGGTGGTGCCCACCCGACTGAGTGCTTTCTCGATGTTCTCAGGGAATGGGGAGCCACTGCACCAGAAGAGCATCCAGGGGTACAAGAAGAAGCTCAAGAAGTTGACAAATACATCAACCACCACCCAGGTCTTCAGGACAGAGGTAAAGAGGACCAGGACCACAACTCGAGTGGCAATCTCAAAGCTCCTCCAGAGGAAGATGCAGACATAGGCGAGGGGCTTCACTTTGACCTCGTATTCATCATACTTGATCTTGATGGCTAGGATGTTACAGCGCAAGGCTCCATACACAATGGACAACAGGGACAGAGTCATGAAGAGGCCTGGAGAGAGAAGAAAAAGAGCACTTTCAAGTCTCACCTCCACCAAGAATCTTACTGTGGCAGTTGTACTGTCAGTTCTCTGCCCATATTCCTTGGACCCTTTTGCTTTATGTGCACCGGCTGACTTTCAGCAGTCAGTATAGGCATCATTGTATGCCTGAGGGATTTTTTTAGAACTGCAGAAGGCTGCTCTGCCCAGGTACCTGGCAGGCTGAAGCACTGGGGAAGTAATATCCCTGGGAGAGCCCTCAAACAATGACTGATGAAAGCTGGAGTATAACTACCTCAGTTCCTCCACCTTTTGGGTAGAATAACTCTGAGACATGTGTTCTATACCATTTCCCAGTGTTTTCTCATATGATTAATTTATATGTGATAGATTGATCTCTATATAACTGTCTTAAGGAGTCCCTGGGTGGTACAAACAGTTAAGTGCCTGACTACTAGCCGAAAGATTGGTAGTTCCAACCCACGCAGAGGCACCTCAGAGGACAAGCCTGGTGATCTGCTTACAAAAGGTCACAACCTTGGAAACCCTATGAAGCAGTTCTACTCTACACACATGGGGTTGTCATGAGTTGGAATCAACTTGACATTAAGTAACAACAACAAATTTGTCTGAATAATGTAACCTTTATTAGCTGCCTTCCTTTCCCTGTCTCACTTCCCTTCTTTCACGCTGGTGTTCCCTACACCTCCCAAAATAACTACATGTACTCAAATCCTTATCTCAGGGCATGCTTCAGGAGCAACTCAAACTAAGACACCTTCCTGACCAGACCTCAACCTGTCTGACTATGTAGAGTCCTTCACATGGTATGTTTTGTTTCCTCAATTGGCTGATAAGCTTCTAGGGAGCCAAGATGTTGTCTGATATTTCTTCTTGATGCCCCTCAACACATACCAGTAATAGGTACATTAACAGAAGGCACTCAATAACAAATTGCCTAGTGGGCTCCTCTCTATCCGCAGAACTTTTGTTACTTATATGCTGACTACAGAATGTTCACTTTCTTTACTCTTCTGTTATATTCTTAAATTCTGCAGAGACCTGAAGAAATACCAACCTTACTGAGAGTCAATACGTCTTGGGCTGAAAGGCCTTAATGTATCAAGAATTCTCAATTCTAGCTGTTTATTTATTAAAATGACTTATGAATAATGGGTTTTTCCAGTTTATAAGAAGCAGCAGTTTACAGGGACAAGACGTGGTTCATTTAAATGAAGCATGGTACCATGTTCAAGACTACGACATTGCTGGTCTTGAATTCTAATATGTAAGAAATGTACTGCCAATCCATGAGCACAGACTATGTGATAAAAAGGAAGTATCACTTAATACAGGGTGCCAGCAACCCGAAATATTGGAGCAAGGAGGGACGGGAGGCAGGGTTTTGAGTTAGGAACCAAGAGCCTGGCTCTGGTTCTACTCTTGTCTCACCAGCTTACACTGGGAAAATTACAACCTCTCTGGGTTCAGTTTTCTCACACATAAAATTGAGATGATAATACCTTTCATGTCTGCTTCTTAAAATGCAATGTCTATGTAACACTGCCCATGTAACACTTTTCATGCAACATAGTTTTCTCTGCCTAAAAGTATAATTTTAAATACATGGGAATAAAGTGATTTCTTTTCTTATTTAAGTTCTGAAACAATGGAAAAACATCTATATTTCATGGGCATAAAAACTCTAAAGCTTTGGTATTTGCCTGGGAGAAGCTCAATTTTACTCAAAGCATCAAGTTTTTGCATAGCCTTTCGGTGCTGACTTAAATTATTGACATCATTCACTGGAAAGACTGGCATCTACTAATCAAATTTAAGGTAAAAACACTATCAGAGGAGTAGAATGGAAAGTAATTGGGCTGATTTATTTTTTTTCTGAGATGTTAATTTTAGTGGAACATTTTAAAGCAATACATATTAGGGATATAGTTTTATATTTGTGGTCACAAATTTCTATACCCTAAGGATACATACAGTATTGAGTCATGTTTTTTTAGCCCTTTTGTTTTCTCTACTATAAGAAAAATACTTTAAATGCAGAAGATGCATAAAGAATTAAATGCACAATTATATATTCATGCATATATAATATTTATATTGTTATATTTATGGCGTTTTAACTCCAAATTATTTCTTTTAACTATACAATGACCCAAATAAATTTTTAAGCATCTATCCATTTTTCGCTTGTTAGGTCAATTATTTCCAAATTACATCTTTTTTCTCTATCAAGAGAATTAGTCAATTGTCCAATTGGTACTTAGTAGCAATCAACTGCTAAAGTCTTCTGAGAGTACAGAGAAATTATCTGGAAATCACTGACTTCAATCATCACTTCTACTGTTGGGTGCTCACTGCATAATGTCACAGATAGAAAGGGTGCCAGGAAGGGAGATATACCAGGGAGATAAGAAGCTTTTACAAAATGCTCAGCATGTATATTTTTCCTTCTAGGATTAAGCTGTTATATAATGAATGACTAGGATGATGCTCATGCAAATACTCACTTATTCAGACTTACATGGAGAAAAGTTACTTGACACCCTCTCCTAACTTTATCTTCCCAAAGTCAATACAAAGAGGATTAGTTGGCAGTCCCACCCATTTAAGTGGCACTTCATAGAAGTCTAACATTCAGTAATATTCCTATTCTCAATTCCTAGGGGTGTGTGTGTGTGTGTGTGCGCGCGCGCGCGTGCCGATGTTGTTTTTATCTTTTATTAGAAGGCAAGACATCACTTTAGGCAAAGCTTAAAGGTTTTGGCAATATTCCAAACCCTTGCCACAGTCTAAAAGCCTTCTCATGCACAATTTCAGGCAAATGAACTCTTTCCAAATAAATTCTCTTCCTACTTCACAGAGAAAATAGTTATCATTAAGCATAAAGTTGCTCATTTCCTGATTTGACACTACAAACTTAATCTTTATGCAAAGTCATGGAGAAGACTTTATTCCCTAGAATTCCTCCTAGGAAGGGAATTCTATTTGTAGGACAGGGGGAACAATTTCTCTATTGCTTTAGAGAGGTAAGGGAGGCTGCCCTCAAGATGGAGGATGGTAGAAGGCTGTTCTCTGTAATGTGACTACTCTCTATATACCTCAGATCTTTAGTTGCATGATAAGGATCAACATGAATCCAAGCCCCATAATGTGAAGATTGATCCAGTCCTCACATTCCCACTCCTCCATCCTCATTGCCAGCCTCCTCCATGGCACTCTCTCTCTGACCCTAGCCACCCAGAGCTAGGTCAGAGCTCACAAGTTAAAAGAATATCGTCCTTCAGACTGCCAAATAGGCAGACGCCAGCCTCAAGTTTAGGGAATCCACATGACACCCCAACCTTCTGGCCTGTTGGCCACAAATCTGGAGCTTGTTTCCCACTACCCCTTCAGGATGCCAGGTGCAAGCTCAGGAGTCCACAAAACACCCTTACTTTCTGACCTGCTGGCTCCCGCTGCTTCTTTGGGTTCAATAATTCACTGGAACGACTCACAGAACTCACAGAGCGTATACCATATTTATGACTACAGATTTATTATAACCAAAAAGGATACAAATGAAGAAACACAGAGGGAAAGGTTTGGGAGGGTTCCCAACCACGAAGCTTTCATGTCCCAAGGGACGTGCTATGCTCCAAAGAACAGATGTTCTCGCCAACTAAGAAGCTCTCTGAGCCTTAGTGTTCTGGGCTTTAATAGCAAGCTAAATCAAGCCTCCCGAGGCTAGCTGATATTAGCCTTCCAGGTGAGTCTTTTCTGGTCTGGCCAGATCCCACTTGCCAGCACAAATCCTTAGGTATGGCCTGAAAGTCCCAGACCAAGGCACCCTAATTATTCCAAGGGTCATTTCTCTAGAGCCAAGGACAAAGACCACCTTACTTAGGTTAAAACTAGATCATTTACTCCAAATTTAGTAAAGTGACTGGACTCACAAAATGCTTGGGTGAAACAGACTTTTCATGAAAATTAGTGAATGACTTCAAGGGGGACCTGAGGCAGCCTGATATGGAATGCAGTGGCAAAGGGAAACTAGAGGAAGTAAGCCCGGTAAGCATCTGGAAATCGGAATTTTAACAAGATTTCAGAGGGACAGTGATTCTTATCACTTTTCCTCTCAACTCAGTAAACAAAGTGTCTTTCTTACTGTCTAAAGCCAGGCTCTCCACCTGTACCACATTCCATCACTCACCTCCTTCTCAAGAACCTTGCTCCATCACGTATCATCACATTTCTCTTCTAAATCTTCAACTGCTCCCTCCTTGCTCTTTTTTTTCCCTGAGCGTAGTATGAATGTGCCTAAGTCTGCTGCATCTAAAAAAACCATCCTTCATTGGCAAAAGAAGTACGTAATTGTTGAAGCTGTGTGATGAATACAGGGGGGTTCCTTATACTATCCTCTCAACCTTTTTGCATGTTGGAAACTTTCTATGATTATGAACCTAAAAGAAAGGAAGGGTGGAAGGGAGGGAGGGAGGAAGAAAGAGGGAAGAAGTGAGGAAGGAGCCTTTCATTTACACTGTACTTCTTTCTGTCTACTACTGGGCTCTTTGACACTTTTCAGCCAGGCTTCTTGTGTTGCCTCTAATCAAAACACTCACTTCCTAATCTTCAACTCCTTGCCATCCCGATTCTGGTCTTGCCACTGTACTGAAATTGTTCTCTGGGTTACAATGGCATTCTAATGTCCAAATCCCATGAATTCCTTTAAGTCCTCTTCCCCGACCTCTTTGCAACATTTGATATTGTTCACTCTCACTTTCTTGAAACTCTTCCTAGAGTAATGATCCTCTTCTCACTTTCCTGGTGGCCCCTTCTCAGTTTCCTTCATAGGCACATCTTTCTCTTTCTACTCAGGAACTATGGTTTTATTTTCTCCTATACAGTCTTCAATATCCAAGGGCCTACCATATTCCTCTTCCTAGACATCCCATAGATGCATTAAAAACAAAAACAGAACAAAACTTATCTTTCCTTAGAAATTTCCTCTAGC